GTCACCATTCACTGCAGCCTGTGATGGGACTAGGGATTCCAGCTTGCCACCCAGACGAGGCTCTGTCCCTGAAGGAGAATGCTTAGCCAGTGAGACAGAAAAAAAAACAGGCAGCATATAAGAAAGAACGTGCAGAGAAGGCCAGTACCAGGGATTTTTTTTTTATTTATGTGTTTTAAAGATCAGTATTTGTGCATCAGTTGCAACTCAGTTATTCAGTATTCTCCTGAGGGCTTTTCCCTTGCTAGGTATCCTCAGGGAAACATAAACATGGTTCCTACAACATTAATGGAGTTTTTTGAATTCTTGGTTTATGTAAATTTTTCCCCTTTTCTGTGAAAAATCTCTTTTGGTGGCTATTATAACAAGTAGAAGGACGAAAAAGACTGAGGCTGTTATCATTAGTCCCTCTTACAGAAAACCTTTTGGAATAAAGGTATACTTTGGACGCATCTGAAGTTTCATACCAAAGATAACATCTGCGTTCCACCTGATTTAGGATATTGCCCTTCCTGTGTCTTGTCTTTTCTTATATCACATCAGACTACAGCAAAACCATTACATATACTAGATATTAAATGTGCTTTCTGTCATGGGACCTTGAGGAAGACCCAGCTCAACTTCGTCTTTGCTGAATACAGGTTATTTGTTCTCAACAATTATCCTACAGAGATCTGCAGATCTAAGATCTGCAGTCTGAAGACCTGTAGCTGGTACTGGAGAGGTCATACTACTTGATGTCACCTGAGCGTGCTCAAGGAGGACAGTTGCTTCTGTAGATACTTTAGTTCTGTCTTTGAGATTTGTAGAACTGCCCCTGGGCGTCATGTCAACAGCTTGCTAAATATTCCCATACCCAGAGAGCATGTCTCTCAGCATACTGACTTCCTGGAGGATTTTTCCACAGAATTCAATGTCCATCCCCTGGATAAGGCAGGTGAACTTGATTATCCTAGAGTCATAAGAATATTGCTCAAAACCTCCCACCGTTTGTATGAGCATGAGCACCACCCATCTTCCCCGGCCTCAAATCCCACCAATTATACTGAATAACTAAGGTAAGTGCCAGGGTTGACAGGAATCAGGTATGTGTTGCACGTGCATTCCTTTATACCGCACACTTCATATCCATAGAGCATTGGATTGACACCCCTTATGTATGTTTGGAGGATCATGCCTGCTTTTAGTTATCAGGTGATGATGGGATAGCTGTGCACATCCTTCCATAAAACTGAAGCTGAATTATTGTAGTTGTCTTTCCATTCTTAGATTATTAACAAAATCGGTCTGTTCTTTGTTCAGAAAGCAGTGGTTTGATGAGCTTTTGTTCTAACAATCTGTTTTTGGTGTTCCTCTCCTGAGAAGAAGCTGTGTACGTTAGCTGGGTTATGGAGGTCTGAGCGGGACCTTCTGACTAAACTGAGAGTTATTCTTCAACACTCTGTATTCTTGGTATTCCTGTGTGACTGGATTCCATTTGAAATTAATTTTACTAGTTTATGGAGATTGAAAGAACTCCTTGTCCCGTTAGATTCAAAATGTCAGCCTGTGCCACGCATATACCCTGTGAGTAGACTTTCCACAAAAAATCAAAATTTGCTAGGCAATCAAGGTGTTGCTGGGCTGCCTTCACAATGGAAAATATTTTTTTTCCTGAAAACCTGTGCATTGTATCTCCACATCTCTTTAAAAATCCAGAAAACATGGTTTCAGCTGTTCGGAGACTGACACTGGAGAAATATGGGCTTATTTGTGGGACATTTTACCAACAGTAGATACTACTCATGCTCCAGTTTACAGTTTGCACAGTGACCTGTAAATTCACAAATGACAAATCATGTCTTACTTGCCTGTCACGCTGACAGCTACAGCATGTTCGAGTTAACAATGAGAAATAAGAAAATTAAAACGGGAGCTTGTTTTCTTTGACCGCCCAAGTAATCTTGGACTTCCTTCTTTTTCGCAGAACTACATATCCTGAGCATGGTGATATTAGAGACCTTCTGTGAAAGATCTCAATTAACAATGCTTCCTTCAATAGAGGTGAAATGGGAATACTTACATAATGGGGTGTATTTCTTTTTAAATAATCAAATTATTATTTCTGCCAAAACATTTATGGTTTGGATTTGTCTTGGGTTTTAAGCTATTTCCTGTGTAAATAAACACACCAAATCTGGGGAGCGCTGTAGTAGCTATACATCAGCGCAGAAACTAGACAGAGACTTTCAAAAGAAAAGGAAAAGCAGTTATGGGAATTCGGTGTATCCACCTCTTGATTTACAGAAGCAACTGGAGCATAAGGGGGAAGGATGATAAACAGAAGAACTGAACTCGACAGCTCCTCCACATGGGAAAGAAACGCCTTGTCTGCGCAAGACGTGCCCCTAGCATGTCCGCATGACTCTGTATGAAGGCCTCACATTCTTTCTCTGGCTGGAAATGAATGAGGCAGGCAGCTCGCAGCGCAAGGACTCTAAGGTTGTCTGCATTGCTGTCTTGGTGAGGAGGAGTTCATGGTGAACTTGGAGAGGAGCTGAGATGCTGCCAGTCTCTGCAGGCTCTGGAGAGTCAAGGTGACGTGCATTCGGCCATGCTAGAGAGAAGGAGAAATCACGTCAATGAAAAGATCAGGGAGAATGTATCTCTCTGTTTTTACAAATGAAGAAGCCTGGACACATTATGTTAGTACAGACTGTTATATCTAGTTCTGTTTAAAAGGATTCAGTAATATTTCAGTGGGGTTTTTTTCACAGTAGTGTGAGGAAAGGTGGTGTGCTGAGAACACTTCCTCAGCATCCTCCTATTGTAATTTGAGCAGTTATTATTTTAGTGCTGGGTACAACTCTCTCTCTCTCTTAATCTTCCTGGAGGGTGGGAGAGCAGAAGTTCAGATAAAAGAAGTCCACTAATCCCCCTTGTCCTCAACCGCCTGCCTCACAAAGCAGTTTTCAGATCCTTGATTCTGCTTTTCCTATGTGTGCTGCCCTTCAGGAATTTCAGGTGGAGATGTTGCCTTTAATAAGAGGACAGTCTACTCAAAATACACTTTAGGGAGAGTCCCCAGGCCTGCATATATAGGGCACAGGCACTGTTTTGGGAAAACCATGCTCTATAATTTTACTTTCTGACTTCCGTCAGAAAATTCCCTTCCCTTTGGGAAGTCAAAAGGTTTCCACCACTTCAAAGGGACAGCCAATGGAAGACTTTTTCCAGTTAATGCTTTCCAGACTCCAGTTCCTGGATGACAGAAGAGGGTTTCCCCATGGACAGGAGGAAGAGCCCTCATCTGCTGTGCTTAGAGCAGCAGAGGGAGGGGGGGAGAGGTATGGAGTTCAGGGACCAGAAGAAAAGCAAGACAACACAAAACTTGCAAGCCATTATGGAGGGCACACTTCTGACGTGTGATGTGGGGTGAACTGGGGAGTCTCAAGGATAATGGAAAGCATGAATTTGCGTGCTAGGGAGATAAAGGATTTCATACTAGTGCTCCTGGGCTGTATATTTTCTGTCGGGCTGTCTGCAGAAGTGCAGTGAACAGTATTGAATTAATTGGGGCAGCTTGTGTGTGGGAGAGCAAAACTCATGTGGGGATGCAAGTATAGATGGAAAATCTTATGTTTAGGGAGCAGAATCAATTAGGAGCTGAGGGATGTCCAGTCATAACATTGTTTGATTAGGAAAACTCTTTGATACTTTGGGGGAACGGAAATGTTTTTTAGATGATAGAGAGGCAGAACAGGATGAAGGAGGTAGAACAAAGAAAGAACTGAAAGGAAACCTATCCTTAAGCCCTTCTCACCTTCCTCCATCTATAATTCATTACCCCCTCCTAGGATTCTCATCCTTTTTCCATCTTTAATGCAAAGGCAATTGAAAATGGCATAAGAGGAAGAAAGTGCCTTGCCTTCTTCCCGAATCAAAGGCCCAATGGCCTCCCTTCCATTTCCTTGCATTGGCATAAAGTATTTAGGGCTGGTGTGCTCTTTTCTGTTCTGCCTTTGTACAGACTTCAGGAGTGGGGAGAGAGGAGCTACAGACGAGCCACCTCAGCAGAGGGTTGTCTTTCTCTACCAAAGGAGACTGTGAAAAGTTTTACCCTGTTCCTGAGATTTCTAATTCACCCATTTCCAAATCAAAACTGCTGTGCAAATTTGAATGCAGTTTTTCTCAGGGAAGCTTGATGTTAGCAAGTATAGATTCTGTTCATATATGCTCATTCATACATACTTGTTTCTTTATATGTCAATATTTTGAACTTTATGACACATTATGTTCTCCAGTAAATTTTGTTTTCTTTATGTTTTTATAAATGTGTTCAGAAGGCCCTCTGGCCCTGTCTGAGAAACACAATTATTATAATATGCTGAGGTTTTACATTTTGCAATGTAAAACAACTTGTGAGTAGCCACATACAGAAGAGACCGAGGCATTAATGTTCTCTCAGAATGAGAGGGAAAAGGAAATACTCATGTAAAATGAGAAGCAGGCAATAGCAGGTGTTTTATGTTATGCTTTGATAATATTCTTCTCTCAGGTTAAGAGCCCTAGCTATGGGGCTCGTCAAATCCTAGGAGATTCATTGGCAAAACCTGTAGACTTTTCAAAGCCTGATTTATATGTACATATGCACATTTTAAAAATGCCTTCTTGCAAATATAAAACCTACTTTGAAAAAAAAAAAGGGAAAAGAAAAATGATCAGCCTTTCTCCAAATTTTCGTAGGCCGTGAGTTTCCCGGCTCAGGTGGGTGCATGCTGCTTGGCCTCTCAGCCCCTTCTTGTGGAGGCCCTGATGACTTCCGTTTGTTCCCCTCTGTCAGGAAATTCCCAAATTTCCTGAGCTGATTCACAGCTGACTTCATTTTTCACAGCTCTGAACTGATGAAAGGAGGAAAAAAACCCCAAGTGTTTTATCTCCATGTTAATTGTGAGAGCGTTTCAGGAGGGGAGGTGGGCAGGGCAGTTGTGGAGGTGGTGACCCTTGCTGTTGCTTTGCAGGAATGTCAGCTCTGCTGGAGAGGAGGCCCGCAGAAGAATGAGGGAGTGTGATGGCCTGACGGACGCATTGCTGTACGTGATCCAGTCTGCTCTGGGGAGCAGTGAAATTGATAGTAAGGTTTGTCACCTTTCTCTTTTCATGAGCAAGAAATCCAGGTAGTTGGGATACATCAGGACTATAAAGTGACAGTTTTGGTTTTTTGGGGTTTTTTTTAGTGCACTGTGAGGGGTGCCTTAGCAAAGCATAATTTAGGCCATTTTTTCCTTTTCCCTCTGTTGAGCTATGTATCTCTGTGTGCTAAGTATTGGATTTGTGTCAGCCTGTGTAGCGTGCCCAGGTAAGCATGTCATCCTCTCACTTGAATTATTAAGAGAGAAAATGTGATACTGGTTTAAGAAGAGCAAATACATCATGTTCCATGTAAACTTCTTTACATTGCTCTGCTGGGTTTACCTTAAAATTGATTTTCAGTACCCAGTATGAGACAGAGCTAACGATGGTGAGGTAGGCTTCCAAGGAAAACAAACTAAAAAAAAAACCTGAGCAATTAGTAGGCAGTTATGCAGTACTACCAACATTATTTCCTTCTTCAAGAGGATCAAAGAATGCTTTCAGTAACAACTGTTTTAAGATGCGTTTTTATGTCAACTTTACTTCTCTGAAAGTACTAGGATATGAACATGCTTCTCCAAAGGTGAAAGGCACTGCCCAGTTAAAAAGACTTCAAGCGTTTACAGGTTGAAGATTTGTAATTCATTAAAATATTCCAGAGAAGAAGAAAACGGCCAATTTTGAATATATTTTGCTTTCTGTATATGGTGCTAAATTAATTACAGTTGCTGCTCTAAGGCAAACTTGGTCCATTTGCAAACCCTTAATAATTGCAGGAAAGCAGCCTTTTACGCAGAAGTTTTAAAGCCCACTGCGTATGTCTTGCCAAATGATCCTTCCAAATGGTTGTCCATGAACCTCTGTGGGTTTATATGTTGGAGAGGGATAACCTCCAGAACTTGCTGGTCTTTAGCCTGAGCCAAATAGGTGAAACTTGCCCATGCGTTCAGGGTAGGGAGAGGGGAATGATGAGAGGTTTGTAGCATGTAGCATTGGGATAGCAGCATGTTTTTGTGTTTTAAAAGCAAGAAAACCCACCCCCAGAAACCCTGCAACTCATTAGTCTCTGATCTTAGAAGGTCCCTTCCAACCCAAAGATTCGATGGTCGACTTTCTGTTCGTAAAGGCTTATCAGAGCGGCGCTGGGAGGAGGCCCACCCAGAAGGTGGGCGCCGCACTCGGAGCAGAGGCGGCTGCCGCCAGCCCCCTCCCAGCTGCCTCCTGCAGCGCAGCCCCCGAGGGCCGGGGTGCTTTTTGCTTCGTTAGCTTTGGAAGAGCTGAACCGGCAACCCTTTGAAAGCTCGCTGGTTTGGCTTGCCTGGCAGAAAGGAGAAGTTAGAGGGGCTTCACCGGAGCGGAGTGGGAGGTGGATGGAGGGAGGAAGTCAGTTTATGCCCCAGCTCACAGCTCAGCTGCTGCTTTTTCGGCAGCTTCTTTGTAGGTGACAACTGACTTCCAGATTTTTCTTTATTGTCGAAAAGGCTAATTAAGGAGTGCAGTGTGTTTAGTCTCATTTGTAGCTGGTATGAGTTGGAAAAGCTGCAAGCTAAGTCATATATGGAGGAAAAAAGGAAGAAATTGGAGAGAAATTGTTCTCCCTGCCCTAGTAGTTTTAACTTCCCATCTAAACAGATTTTTACCTGTATAAACATAAAGCAGTTGTGCAGCTAAATACAAAACATCATAGTGTAGCCTCTTAGCTTGCATCTTTATCCCAAAGTAGAATGTAATTTCAATTAAATATTTAAATAACTGGCTCTGGGTCAGTTTTTTAATCTAGTTTCAAAAATGGTGCTATTATGACAAAAAAAATGGGACTTCAAAATAAATTTATAAATATTGTTTTCCAAATGCCATGACAGTTGCCCTGTTAGATAATTTTGTAATACTGTTGGTGACTAAAAACTGAAATATGAAAAACAGGTCCCTGCTCTTGCAGGCTCTGAAAGAGGCTGGGGGACTTGCAAGCACATGCAGAATTGTTGTTAGAGTCATTCCTCATGCTGGTGAAGTCAAGAGTGCACAAATCTTAGCAGCAGTGTGTCTTATAAATGTCTAATAAGAAAAAGCTATAATACTTCAAGTTAAAATGTTAAAAATTGGTGACTTAGACGTACGTACCTGAGAAAGTTACTGTTCATAATTTCAATTTGATCTATTAAGATTACTGAACTTGTATTTAGTCCCCTTCTGATGAAACTGAAAAATACCTGTAGGAATGAGGAATACAAGGACCTTCAAAAGTTCAAAGCTGCAAGTCAAGGAGTGAAGTCTGTCCAACTGCATGGCTGGAACCAGCTTTCTTGGCTGGTACAAGAGATCTCTTTGGTGTTGGTTGCGTTTGAGGCTGGGAAGTTTGCTTATCAGTTTTTAGTTTGAGGTAATGCTATCCTCTCAGTGGACTGAGCTATTTTGTTTTTGACATAATGAGAATTTTAAGTGTGAAAACTATTATTAGTAAAAAGGGGAACTAAAATTCATAACCCTAATCAAACAACGCAGAGCTTCAACTTCAGCACATTATGGATGTGCAGAAGTAAATATTAGCAAGAGTGAATAAAATTCAAATATGGCAATGTTAAAGAAAAGTAAAAGAGGTAGAAAACTTTGTATGGTCACCATGAGGTTTGCAAAGCTTTGAGGTATGAAAGGTGCATTAAGAACTTTCACATTTTCTACATATATATTTCTACACATGTTTACGTATTTGGCTGGAGATGTCAAATTAGTACAGGTGTAATGTGAAACTTCATTTATGTTTAAAAAATAAATAAATAATCCTGTCTAGATGAGTCTGAGTTCAGTGTTCAGTATTACCTCTGGAACTTCATGTCATCTCAAAGACCAATTTCAAAAACATGTGCCAAATGCATACCTGGCATAAGCTCATACAGTGGATGGAAGTAAATGAAGCCCCATCTGTTTGCCTCACTGGTGAATAAGGCAGAGTACGATCAAGCCGAAAGCCTCACAGTCATTCCATTCCGGGTTAATGGAGCAACAGAGATGGAACGTAGTGACTGTCGCTTTTTATCTCCAATGCAGCATTAGGAACAGTTGAAATAGATATAGATAGATACAGACTGGCTGTTTTAACTATGCTTTCCCTGCCTGCAGAAAATTAAGCACATATCCTTCCTGTTAAGGGTAGTCAAACCAAATTGAACCAACTAAATGAGTAGGCTTCAAGTGAGTCTAAACTGAGCTTCTTTTAGACTTGCAGAAATTATCTTGAGCTATCAGTGCCGTCTTTTTCCTCTGCCGGGTCTCGCTCCATTTCTGGATTCCTGCCACCATCTTTAACAGAAGGCACAACCTACTACAGGGACAAATGGATGAAAGGGAAAGGCTGCCTACAAGTTACTTGCAGCCTGGCTAGAAGCAGTAAAAGCAGCAAGACTCATGAGATTTCTAGTCTTACGTCTGGAACTTGAGAAACATCATCTGTTCACGCTGCACGTATTAGTGAAACAGAACTGGACTCCCATTCTGTTGGTAATTTACATAGAATTGATGCCAGAAATAACCTTTATTTCTGTTTTTAAAAAACAAACAAAAAACCAACCCCAAACCAAAACCCATAAGCTATTGCCATTTTTCATTCGTAGCATTTTCTGTTCACTGAGGTAGGACTTCCCTGACATTCTGTGCATGTTCAGTATCTCTTGATCATTTTCTATCTCTGCTGCTGTTTCACATGGGGCTCCAGCATGAAGTTCAGAATGACAATAAAAAAAAAAAACCTCATGCAAAAAAATATTGTCCAGATTACTGATTTCTTCCCAGAAAAATTCGTAAATCTTTTAAGCTGTGGTTACCTGTGGAGCACTCGGAAATTAGCAGATAATCACAGAATCATTAAGGTTGGAAAAGACCTTCAAGATCATCAAGTCCAACCGTTAACCCAACACCACCGTGACCCTTAAACCATGTCCTGAAGCGCCATGTCTACACGTTTTTTGAACACTTCCAGTGACAGTGATTCCACCACCTCCCTGGGCAGCCTGTTCCAATGTTTGACCACCCTCTTGGTGAAGAAATGTTTCCTAATATCTAATCTAAACCTCTCCTGGCACAACTTGAGGCCATTTCCTCTCATCCTATCACTAGTTACTTGGGAGAAGAGAACAACACCCACCTCACCACAACCCCCTTTCAGGTAGTTGTAGAGAGCAAACAAGGTCTCCGCTCAGCCTACTCCGGAGTGAACAATGCCAATTCTCTCAGCTGCTCTTCCTAAGACTTGTTCTCCAGACCCCTCACCAGCTTCGTTGCCCTTCTCTGGACATGCTCCAGCACCTCAGTGTCCTTCTTGTAGTGAAGGGTCCAAAACTGAACACAGGATTCGAGGTGTGGCCTCACCAGTGCCGAGTACAGGGGCACGATCACTTCCCTATTCCTCATGGCCAC